TGGGCTTTGGTTCATCATGTGACTTTCTCATCACCACCTGCATTTGGTGGTTATCAGTGTATTACAGAGGTACAAAACAGATTTCAGTACTTCAATAAGGTTGGCATATTAACATTATATCAGTTAATGAAATTACGGTATTTAACTGTAAAATTAAGTTAAAACTGTAAAACCTAAAATGTTGCTACCGTATTTTTTACGGTAAAATTCCGGCAACCACAGCTGCCGTTTTTTTACCGTAAATTTTACGGATTTTTTTTTTACAGTGTACAAGAACATCAGGAAATCAAAAATGTGGGAGTGTTTATTCTATAAAATATGTTATTTAATTAATTATATGTTCAATTTATGTTAGAAAGAGCTTTAGCAAGATTTATTGCAGAATGTTGGTAAATCAAAAATGGTGCAGTTCTAGAAAGCACATATGCACATGAGAAATGCAATAGCTAATGAAGCAAAAAAAACGTAAGAGTTAGAGTTAAGTCAATTAATCCCAGTTTTGAAGCCGTTCAGCCTGATGGATAATCTACAGTAAGAAGCCTAAGCCAAGTGTAGCTGCATGCCGTATTGTGTCAGTTCTTTCCACCCACTTCTTCCTGTCTTATTGCGGCTCTGAGAATGTGTCATGCCTGACTTCACAGCATGCTTTGCACATTACTGCTGAGTTTGCCTCATTAGAAGTATCTTAGTATTTCCTGTGTGCTACTGACAGAAAGCGTCACCTCTTTAGTGTAACAATATCTTGTGTTGAAGTTAATTGGAAGTTTTTAAACACTACAAGTGCACACATTTATGAACATTTCATCTGAAAAATGTTGATCGGTAAAAGGTCACATAAGATGAAAATCTGTGACCGCAGGACCCCACCTTCACACCCAACCCTCTAACGTTCACACATAAAAGAATAACGACTAATAACAGCACTGCTGCTGATGTTTATTCTTGGCTGTTTTAAAAAAGGAAACCCAAATGCCAGTGCATGAAAAGTACTGTTGCTTTATAATATTATTTATATGTAATGTTAATGCATAAGCTTTTACATTTATACATTCATATTCTATATAAATAATATTATAAAGCAACAGTAGTGGTCCAAAAATAAAAATTGTAGTCATTTTCTTAATTTTAAAAATCCTGAAGAGAGCTCCACCAATAATAATGTATGCATTACTTTTTTTGCAGTATAAAATCTCTTAAATATCAATAAAGATAATACATGTGAATAAAAATATTAAATTCATAATAAAATAAATATTAATTCAAAATTAAACATTAGGAACTTAAAATCGTTCGATGAAATACATTTAAATATATTTATAAAAAATATTTCCATGATTCACATATGCTTTAACATTTATAACTAATATTATAAAGTCACTGTTGTACAATACATAAATGGTTTATTCCACTTGGATGAACGCTATATGAATTCTAACATGGTCTGTTTTATGCATTTCTGATTTGTCATGTCCAACAACTGATAATTACAAATTCAATGCTCAGCAAGGGTCACTTTCCAAACTAATTCCATTATTCCGTTGCGCCCAGGCCTTTTCAATCGCCCGAGTTCCTCGCAGTTAAAATCCCACCGTCACCAGCAGAGAAATGCAAATGACGCGTGGCGATGAATGCGACACATTGTCCGGCGGATTAATCGGGTTTGAACCTTTTTGTGTTTTGCAGGAAAGAGCTTCATGCTGACAATCACAGTATTCACGAACCCACCGCAAGTGGCTACTTACCACCGAGCCATAAAGGTCACAGTGGACGGACCGCGGGAGCCGCGAAGTGAGTACCACCCCAAATATCACACATCATGTGATTAGCACACGCAAAAGCAGATGAATGATGTTGTGCAGCGTCGTGGCACAGCGCACCGTTCGTGCAGCCCGATGCATGAATTGATGCATAGATTGTGTTACGGTACTGTTTTAAAAATGGATTCAGCACGCCTCAATGCACAAAGACGGCCTTTGAGGAGCAGCAGGCGTGTTCAGCGAGAGGCAAATACAAACACGTGCTGTCAAGGCCGCTTGACTTGTGAAAATGTTTACTGTATTGGCCTCTTGTGTCTGTCAGTCAATGTGCTCTTAAGAGCGAGCGCCCGTACAAACCCCTCGACCTCTGACCTGCGCTCTGGCTATGTTCTCAATGGAATATTAGCGCACTGCATACTGCGCAGTACGTACTGCATACTGTGCTGTTTTTAAACCCGCTCAATTTCCTGCGTGATGAAGAAACATGAATAATGTTAGCTCACGAACCCACCGCAAGTGGCTACTTACCACCGAGCCATAAAGGTCACAGTGGACGGACCGCGGGAGCCGCGAAGTGAGTACCACCCCAAATATCACACATCATGTGATTAGCACACACAAAACCAGATGAATGATGTTGTGCAGCGTCGTGGCACAGCGCACCGTCCGTGCAGCCCGATGCATGAATTGATGCATAGATTGTATTACGGTACTGTTTTAAAAATGGATTCAGCACGCCTCAATGCACAAAGACGGCCTTTGAGGAGCAGCAGGCGTGTTCAGCGAGAGGCAAATACAAACACGTGCTGTCAAGGCCGCTTGACTTGTGAAAATGTTTACTGTATTGGCCTCTTGTGTCTGTCAGTCAACGTGCTCTTAAGAGCGAGCGCCCGTACAAACCCCTCGACCTCTGACCTGCGCTCTGGCTATGTTCTCAATGGAATATTAGCGCACTGCATACTGCGCAGTACGTACTGCATACTGTGCTGTTTTTAAACCCGCTCAATTTCCTGCGTGATGAAGAAACATGAATAATGTTAGCGGTAATAATATCTATTTAACATTTTGTGACTATAAATTTGTACATAATCGAATTTACAAAAATTTAATTAAAAATGCAACATAGTTACACTTTAAAAAAAATGATGTAGAAACTATTTGCACTCAGGTATTGCTTGTAAATTTCACAATAAATTACAAAGAAACAGCAAGTAACACATTGAATTAAACGTAAAATTTTGAAGTAGAAAAACTGAAATAGTATCTTTATTTATAATCTTTATTTACTACTTCAAAAAATCTTTTTTTTTTACCACATTCTGAATGAAACAAGTAAAATACACTAGTTTAAAATAATTATTATGGCAAGATGCGTACTATCTTCTTACTGATTTTTTTTTTTTTAATAGTTTGCGTGATTTCATGAGAAACATTTTAAACTGTATTTTATGTCACATAATTGATCTGATTATGTTAATATTCATTCAGAATGTGGCGCCTGTTGTAAGTAAAACAAAGATTATTAGAGTATGTTTTACAAGAAAATACTACAATTTTTTCTACTTCTAAATTTCATGTTCAGTTCAATGCATTACTTGCTGTTTCTTTGTAATTATTTGTGAAATTCACTTACAATTTCTGAGTAAAAATTGTTTCTACACCACATTCTTTTTAGTGTTAAAAAACCCTATTTTGTATGAAAGCCTTCTTCAGTCATGGGATAAAAAAATAAATTTAAAAAGCTAATTGCAACTTCTTATCCAGCAATTATGACTTTGATTCTCACAGAAAAAAGTTAGAATTGTGAGATATAAACTCAGAACTGCAAGATATAAATGCAGAATTGTGAAAAAAAAATCTATATCTATCTATCTATCTCTCTATCTCTCTATCTATCTATCTATCTATCTCTATCTATCTGTCTATCTATCTATATATATATTTAATATATTATAATAAATAAATAAATATTTAAAAAAAAAATTTGTGAGATGTAAACTCAGAATTCAGAGAAAAAGTCAGAAATGCAAGGTATAAACACAGAATTGTGAAATATAAATGCACAATTGCAAAAAATAAAAAAAAATAAAATCTGAATTGTGAGAATGGTGTGCTTTCATTCCAGGCTGCAACACAGGTCAGATTGTGCAGAGGAATTGTATGGTTCACGTGGTCTTGTGCCGAGGTGATGAGGTCTTCGTAGGGGATCTGTCTCTGGGGCGCATCTAGTTTACGTGGTCTCCGCTGACATTCAGGGCTGTAGAGGTCATCTCTAGGTGCTGATCCACCATCTGGACTGGATCTGGTGGCTACGGTGACCTCGGAATAAGAATGAAACAGACTAATATTAGCATAGATGCCATTCTTCTTACGATATAGCGAGTACATCAGTGTTATGGGAAGTGTTCCCGTTTCCGGTTGACCTAATTAATGCAGCCTAACAATCCTTTAACGGATTTGAATTATAGAAATGTGATAGTGTGTTATGTGTAAGCCAGGTTAAAGAGATGGGTCTTTAATCTAGATTTAAACTGACAGAGTGTGTCTGCCTCCTGAACAATGC